TGTCTCCTCATGAAGTTTTCTTCCATTTCAGAAGCTATTTTAGGCTGGCCTCATAAATATTAACTATTTCCCTCTTCAGGTTTTGAAAGGTTCCTGGAAGATGCTGATTGTAGCTAGGACATTTCTCTGCTAACCAATCAAAACAGGTAACAAGGACTACCAAGCTGGTGGCTAGAAACAGCCCCTGCTCTCAGCCAAATGGAGATCAAGCAGTGGGGACAGGCATAGATGGCCTGGAAGCTGAGTGCTGTACTGACTGACACCTGATTACCAGCTGACAGCATGACTCACTGCTGTGACTCAGACCTGCAAACCCATCATGGATGTGTGAAGACTGCAAATTCCTCAGGGAGAGAATGCCCCAAACTCCCATGTGCTGCATTAAGATTCTCCAACTCCCCAGCTAATATGTGCCACTGGAGTTCATCTACAGCAATGTGAGGGCTGGCATCTGCAAACCTCGTGTGACGAAATGCAGTTGTACTGCAGCAATGCCAGACATTACATATCTGTAACACTACCTTTTCAGGAGAATAATTATGAGTAACCCTTAAATAATGTTTCTTGGTCACTATCAGCATGTGCCAAGCCAGCGTTCCTACTAAAAGAAGGTTTTTTAAGTTTTCATTAATTTGAAATCCTGTTACACTTCTTTCAGGCTAATCTGATCCTAGATCACTTGTTCCAGATGCCAGTGCAGTAGGACAGCACTGTCAGCCATCACAACCAAGAGAAATAGGACGAGGACCTTTGTTCCAAGTCTGTCATTGCATGGATTTGTAATTTGTTCCTCTGCAACACTGTTGATTTCCATTATATTCAGGAAAGTTAAGACTAAAGACTGACACTAATCTAGATGGAAGTTAAAATGAAGTTAGGCTGTTCAAGATGAGAAATAAAAGCGAAAATACTCTGGAATTTGCACTCAGACAGCTATTAAATGACTTGGTATCTGATATTAAATGGTACCTGCTATGTGGGAAAAAAAATACTATAAATGCTGTAAAAAATGTTGATGGATTCTGAAGTTGCTTATTTAAATTTTGACCCTGCAAAGGCTGTCAGGTCCTCTTTGAGAAAGAAAAGAAATCCTATTGTTGTAAAATCAGTTTAGGCTCTCTATCTTAATTTTTAACTCCCCAAACCATGCTACAGCTGTAGTACATACTTCCAGACACCTTGAGACCATTTTCTCCAGGCCACCAGAGTGCACACCATGCACACACCATGACCCTGGATTTAGGTCCTGTTGCCAAGCCTGTGGGTAATCCAGACCTCCTCACTGATTTTTCCCTCTTTAACAGAAAGTGTCAGCAGCAAACAAGCCATGTGCTGGTAGCATTTCTGCGGATAGCTGTGCACAAAAGCCAAAACCTGACAGTTACCATGGGATTATCTCATTAAGCTTTTACTGAATATACTGCATTCTTCAATGTCTGTTAATCTTTTCTATTCTTCTCCCTCTCTTCCTCTTCTCCTGCCCTCTGCGCAGGAATGTGAGCAGTATCAAACCCCAGAAAGGGTAAGGGAGCTGCTGTGCTGTCACCCAGCAGAGTGGTTCCATGGTCGCATTTGGCTTGAAAAATCCCGTCTTTCAAACCTTCTCCAAAAGGGCATTGCTGTGTATTTTGGAAAAAAAGAAATCAGCTACCGCACCTGTTGTTATTTATGAATAATAATAAAAAGCCCTGAAGAAGGTGGATACTTGCTCTCCTACTGAGAATTGGATCAGGTTCTTGTTTTCCCTAAGATGCCTTTGTGTTCCTTTAGCAAGTGCAGGAATCTTCGGATGGGTGTGTAAATAGTCCTCCTGTGAAGGGCTATTTACACTTCCAGAGAGGCACAAGAGGCTTCACCAGCAAAGGTGGTTATTATTTCATGAGAAGCAGTCCTTTTTGGTTTGCACAAATGTCCTGTGTGCCCAGGGTAGCAGGAATGGTCCCTAGGGAAGACTTGGCTCTATGGAAATATTAACAGCATCTGGTACTTCAGCAGAAAGATTTCTGTTCTTTTGGATTCAACAGAGAATATGGCATAACCCAGTATACCCAAACTGCCAGGGAGGCTGGTGCCACATTTTAATGCACACCCTTTTTTATTTAAGGGGTTTTCTTCCCCCTTAGCTCCTCAGATAAAAGAGTCTGAGTGACAGATTTTCCCCACTGTTGCCCAAATCTCCAGTATATTCCAGACCTGTCAGGAAGATTGTCAGCTATTGCACTGCTCTCCTGCTATGGATGTGCCTGTTTGGAGACAGCTGCTAGCCTGGGTCAGGCTGCTTGCACTGGCCCCAGGTGTTCCGTGGGCTGCAGCACTGAGCTGCTGCTGCTGCTGCGAGCCCGCTGTAGGTTTTAGAGAGCTGGGAAGGGAATTATGGTGTCTTGCTGCTGGCACATTCCTGTTAATGTGTTTACTCACTTTCTTCAGAATCTTATGAGAATTGCCAGTGAATTCAGATAACTGACAGGATCTTAGTTATAATTAGTAGCAGCTTCCATTCTGACACACGGGAAGGACTAACAGCATTTTTCTTAAGGCAGAGTTGTTATGCTGTCCTCCAGAGAGGTACTTAAAAAAGTACATTTTCTAGCAAAAAGCCTCTCCCACTTGTTTAGGACAGATGGGAGAGGAAAGGATTCTGAAGTGATGGAGTTTGAGGGTAAAAAATTGTACTAACTGTCACAGAGTGTGGGCTTTCACAGATCAGCTATTTTTGTTATTACTGACATGCATCCGTTATATCAGGAACTCACAGTATCAGAGCAGATGTGGAAGAAGTTTATATTTCTTTGTTCATAAAAGCTGTGAAAAATCACAGGGAAATTAGCAGGCGGTAATACATGTGGAGACCTGAAACTCAAGGGCTGAATCAAATTACTGAATTTATCTAGCCTGATGAGCAAAGCGTACCTGTCCACAGGGTCTAATCATAAGGCACTGATTTTCAAAGGTCCTTTTCTTCCACTTCAGAGGAATTTGAAAGTAAAAATAAACATTAGTGGGCATTCAAAAAGGCCCAAGAAGCTAAATATCCAAGAAGAGTTTAAGATCTGCTGACTTTCAATCAAACTGGGGGTCTGATTTAAGGGTAACTCTCCTCACAAACACCAGAGAAAAGAAGTGGCTGAAGGAATGGCTTGGGCTGCTGAGTCCAGTTCGTTTCAACTGCAAGCAGCCCCAGAATGTTTGAGAAGGCTCAGCCTGAGTGGCCCTCCACCATCACTATTTCTTCTGCAAGTCTTTCTAGGAATCTACCTGCTCTTTCTCCAGGTTCTGTTATGGACTATACAAATGAAAAGCAAATAATTCAGGGACAAAAACTGAACTATGAACTTCCATTTCATGAACCTGGGGCCCTTATGAATGCAAATGAAAGTAAAGGCGATAGGACTGGGAGATGATCTGGGACAGTGACGAGTCAGTCATTTAAGTATAATTTAAAAGCCTGAGATTAACAGAGCTTCTGGCCATAACTGTATGACTTCCAGGACTGAGGAGCTTTTTCTGTAGTGTAAGTGATTTATAGGCCTGAGCTTGGAGATAGTTTTTGAGATTGATCCTGATGGTTAATTTAACAGTATGCTGGTATTGTAGAATAGTTTCATGTCAATTTTTCCTGCTATTTACTTTGATTTTTTTTCTACAGGTAACATGTATTAATTTTAATATAATCAATAAATATTCATAAAAATAATGACATTAAATAACCATGCACATAACTCCGGGTGTCTTTACATTGATAAAGGAGGCTTGAATATGTTCAAGTTCAAACAGCGAATTATCTTTTTTTACCTATAATTTATTTTTCAGAAGTATACCTGAACTATAGCTTTCCTAATGCAAAAAAAAAGGAGCATTGTCTGTACTTGCCAAAACTACCTCCTCTAACTGAACTTGCTCTTTACCAAATTGAAGCAAGGCAGGACTTTGCCACCTCAAATGTAAAAACTGTAGCCAGACAAAAGTCTGCTTTCTTCTCTTATAAGAAAGACATGATCTGAGTTAAAACAGAGACTTTGGAAGTGATTCCTACAGATGCAGACTTGCTCTTCCTGCTGGTGTCAGGAGGATGCGACCTCTTGGATGATACCATTGGTCAGGTCTGGGTGCTACTGGTGATGAAGCTAACACAGAGAGTGGGAGTTCTTGGGGCTCTGGCAGAAGCTGGGAGCAGGGACATAGATGTTACTGCCCTTCCTGATTGCCCCTAATTGAAGGATTCTCTACACCATTTTTGCCTAGATCTGTCCCTGCTCAGGTGGCACAGCACCACTGGCACACTGGATGCTTTTCCACTAAGGATGTAGAGACCCTGCTTAATTTTAATTGGCTTTCACCAGTGGTTCAGCTCAATAACTCAACATGCCATGACAACTGAGACTGTTGGAGGGCAACAACCTGAGGTGTGAGAAAGACAAGCTCAAGGGAACAGGCCTGACGGAGCAGTGCTAGCTTCTCATCTCTATCCTTTCACAGAGCAGAATATGGGTTGTACACATCAGTGACTGCCAGGGTGGGAGTCTCACTCAGACACAGTTTTGTCAGGAACTACATTTCAGGCTGTAAGTTAATGGACAAGAAGCATTTTTGCACAAAAGAAACTCCAGACTGAGAAATGCCTTTGGCAAAAGTATTGGATTTCTAGAAGTACTGGATATTATTAGACTTTTGTGGTGGTGCTTTATCTTTCTGTTTATGTGCTAAAATTTCCCTGCTACTGAATTAGTTTGCTCAATGGAAATCTTATCAAGTCTGAGGAGCTCTATGCAACTGAGCAAGAAGCTAGAAGGATGTGAAATACTTATACTGAGAATTCTGGGTTACAACTAATATTTAACATGTATTTATAAAGGGAAAAGAGGTTATGTAGCAGATTCCTACTATCACATTGGCAAAATAGCTATGCAGATGTCTTTTGATTTCTCCCTAATGCTCATATTTTGCAGGGTGTTAATACCCTGGGTGATATTCATTCACATGAAATGAAATACACACAGGAGTGGGAATGATAGAAAGATTTTACTGGCACAAATGTGGCAATGAGCAAGTTATATGGGTCAGCACAAATGAGTATAGATAAAACTTTTATATCACCAAGCTATATATTTCACAAATGCTGGGCATGAAAAGGGAAAAAAATATCTCAATTTTTATAGAGCATTTAAAATTATTGAGGATAATGGTAGTAAGTTTTTGTTTTTCAAGGAAAGCAAATATTCAGACATCTTCATGACAAGTGTGAGATCTTGAAATCTCCTTGAAACAATCAACAAGATTCTCACTGACCTTAACGGGGCTGGGATTTTGTCCAACTGGCCAACTATAGAAGATTCAAATAGGGGAAAAAAAATAAACAATGCATTTTAGAAACTGATGTGTATTTTTTCTCTTTTAATATGCAGACCTGTTATTTTCACACCGAAGGTTAATTCTGTGACTACCTCAGACCAAAAAAGAAGGTTTTTGCATTATTTTAAGATGCTAGGAGTATTTCCAATGGGGGAAACATAGCTTAAATGAGAGGCAAATCACAGAATCAGAGAATGATTGAGGCTGGAAGGTGCATCTAGTAATTGGTGAGTCCAGCAGCCCTACTCATGCAGGGCCACCTACAGAACGTTGCCCAGGACCAAGTCTAGTCATGATTTAACAGTCTCCAAGAATGGAGACCCCACAGCTTCCTTGGGCAATCTGTGCCAGTGCTTGGTGACTCTGACAGTAACAGTTTGCTGATGTTCAGAGGGAACGTCCTGTGCTTCCATGTGTGTCACCTGCTATCACTTAGAGATGTCTGTCTCCATCTGTCTATTATAGTAGGTTTGATAGGTAGGGTGGAGTTTTCTAAATCCACTGGGGAAGGCTGTCACATGATGCAGACTGCCAGGGCTCTTGTCACTGGGTCTGTGAACTTTCACTCTTCCCGAGAAGTTGTTCCTAGCCACCTAAAAGTGAAGTAAGAATTTGACCACTGCTGAAGATGCCTGGAAATCACACCCTTGGTGCATGTGTTTATCCAATGAATATGTTAAATAAAAAAAAAAAAAAAAAAAGCTGTTCAGTGTTCCTGAGAGTTTAAAATAAAAATATTTGCCCAAATGAGACTCAATACTTTCAAAGAATGTTTTCCTTTTGGTTTCAATTCTTCATCTTTCACAGACCCCTGTTTTGCCCAGTATCTGCCATTTTGAAATCTGTGACTTGTCCTAATTTGTCCATTTCTATATATTGACTTTGAAGCACATACTGTGACAGTATTAAAACAGAAAATCATAGAATCATGGAATGATTTGAGTTTGAAGGGACCTTAAAGATCATCTAGTTCCAAAACCCCTTTGGGAGTTTGGGAGACTTTTCACTAGACCAGATTGCTGCTACCTGCTGGGATGAACTAAGCAAGATGGAGCCTGTGCCCTGTGTGTCTCTGCTGGTTGGCACTGTGAGCAAGGCAATTAAATAAATGCAGTTTGCATTTCAGCTGTGGTTTGATGGTTGCCTTTTGTTTCCTGTATGTGCCGATTCGCTCACCATTCAACCTGGTCTTGAGCACTTTCAGGAATGGGGAATCCATCACTTCTCCAGGCAACTTGTCCCAGTTCCTCACCATCCTCAAAGGAAAGCATTTTTTCCTAATATCTAACCTAAGCTTCTCTCTTTAAGATTTAAAGCCATTCCTCCTTGCCCTATCACTTCTTGCCCTTGTAAAAACTTATCTAAACTTGTGGAAAACATTGTGAAACTCCTGACCTCCTTAAAACATTCTTGCACTGCTTTCCTGGATTTGAACTACAAAATATAAGGAAAAAACAAAGAGGGAACAGTTATTCTATTTACCATCAAGACTGTTCAAATTGTTTTCCATAGTAAGTTTCTATCTAAAGTTTAAGCAGGAGGCTACACTAGACAAGAACTTACATCTTTGCCATGTTGAGCAGACACTAAAGGCAAAAATTAAATGGAAAACACATCTTTATATTAATTGTAGATGGCTTGCATTTTTCAGGATCTGAGGGAAACAAACAAAATTCTCAGCTCCCGAGAGTTTGGAGTGTACTGCTTTAAATCAGTAAATGTGGATAATTTACATGCCTAACATGCCACATATCAGCATGAAAACATTTGTCAGAAACTGATGAATGAAACAAGTAGAATAATGAAGAAAAATGACAGTATACAAACCATCCAGACAGCAAAATAAACAATATAAGTGTTTGGTAAATAAATCCCTGCAGAACTCTTAGAAATGAGTCACTGATTAATTGAATCAATCCATCAACCTTTTGTGATTACATCAATATGCAGTCCCTTTGATGTTTGTTCTTCTTCCATAGCTACTGTTTTAAATGCCTTTAAAATGTAAGATAAGATATAATGTATCCATATGGAGCTACCATAAATTAACTGGATACCCTAGTAAGATATAATTGGCTGATTATTTTATTTAATTCTTGTATGTAATGCTGTAAATAACCATATCACCTTTTCCTTTTTCTGAATTTTTTTTTGTCATCTACTTCTTCAACGAACTAAAATTTAACAGCAGAGTGGGACTGTGAGATCATATTTTTTTTTTTTCCTAATTGAAATGTTCTCATTAACTTTATTTATCACATAAACCCTTTGTAGGAAGGACTGTCTTATTTACTCTATTCATAGATTGGACCATGCTTGTACATCCAGTTATTATCAGAAATAATAATTTTTGTGTACTAAATGCTTGTCTAGAAAATAAACACTTAGGACTTTGAATGTCTTGAGAGGAGGGATAGGAAAAGCTAAACAGAAAAGGAGTGAGACAGTGTGTAGTTATGTATCTCCACCATAAAATATAGCCACCTAACAGGTGTGTGTATGTGTGCATGTATGTGTGAGTGAGTGAACTGAGCCAACATTTAGCACAAATGCACACAGATGCATCAATATGGAGAACCCTATGCAAATTAAAGCAATTGCACATACTCACATGCTCTCCTAGGAGCAAAATATTCACCTGCATGCATAGAAATCAACTATCTAAATGTTTGCAAGGGGAAAAAACACAATCCTGAGAAAATTCTTAAAGAAAATGAAATGTGAATCTAATCCAGTAAATGTGTTCGCAAACATTTTTTATCAATTTCTTCTAATTCACCTGTGCCTTTTGTAGCTCTGGATGTTTATGACTTTCTGTGTACTCAGTGAGCTATAGCTTTAGCAAATGTAATTGCACATGTGCTAATGATCCTACCAGGGCTTGCTCTGTCTCATGGCTTCTGTAATGCTGCCAACCTTTACCATTCAGTTAAATGTCTCCCTGTCCGAGGTTTTTTGAGAATGTACATAACCTTGTGCTTCCTCTTGTTGTTTTGTACACATCCTTAGTGACACTATCCTCCACAACTGCCATCATCACCTTTATGTGAGCTGGAAACAATGGGTGTGACAAAGAGCAGTATGTAATTTTGGGAGGGTATTTGGGATTGTGTTCAGGAAGAGAGACAGTGAGAACGGGACAAGAAGATGGTGGCAGAACTGGAGGCTGTTGGAGAACATATGCTGAATGTGAACATGCTTCTTCACCTTAAACTCCCCATAAACTAATTCCCATCAGGACAAAGGCAAAGCTGGGAAAATGATAAGGTGCCAGATGGCAGTAAAGACCCTTTTCCAATGGTGGATGGAGAAGCAGGGCTTTTGTAGAGATTTAATTTTGAATCATAGATGACCACAAACATTTATTTTTTAATTCTCATGTTTCATAGTGCTTCTGTGTATCCAAAATAATAATCCCAAGGCATTTTGAAGTCCCAAGAGCTAAGTCTTCTACTCAACAGAGAGCAGAAAGATTGGATTTTTTTATTGGATTTTTTATTAAAAAATGTCTTTCATGATCTTGGCAGGATTTTGGAAGACTTGTAAAAGACATAATCTGCTTCAATTGGTTTCTGAGAGATAAAGGAAAAGTGCATTTTTAAAAGACCCTTCTTTTGTACATATGGAGAGAGATTTGCTACAAATGCATGTATGATGCTACTTTGAACTTCACATTTGGTACAATATCTTTCTAAACCACTTAGCTATGCCAAGGTCTCAGCTTTAACTAGCTGTAATTGCTTCTCTTGTTGAAGGTTTAAACAGAGGGACTTGCCAGGACCTGAGATCAAACAGAGCTGATTTCTCCAATCCACGTCAGGAGATGAAGCATATTGGTGACTAAAGGAGAAAAATCCCTTTTACTGGTTGATTCTGTGCTGTGCCACTTCTGTATGTGAATGAGTAATTGCAGTCTAAAGGGTGGTTTCATTTGTGTATTGTAATTGCATTTAATACTGCACATAGCTTGAAGAAGAGAAATTAGCTTAACAACTGTCTTAATCTTTCTCCAAGAAGCTGTGGACACTGTGCTGTCTGCAGTATTGCTGTGCATTGGTTCTTCAACAACACCTGGCTTACCTTTAGTGTCTGCTGTCAATCCAGATGTTCTGGGAGGAAGCCAGATTCAGAATAGCTAGAAACAAACTCAAGAAGTCCATCACTTTCATCTCAACTACTCATTAGTAGACAGTCAGAGAGCAATACATGCACATAGACTATTCATGGGGCTTTCCATCTTTGTGAGAAAAGTCCTTCTCCTCTTAGTATTTGCATTTAAAAATAAAACAGAGGACTGGAAATGAAAATGTTACAAGGTGGAGTGATTCATGGAGTGTGGAGTATTGCTTTGGCTACTATCAATTTGCTCAAATGGAGGGTGAGCATGCAAGTGATGAAAGGCTTCAGACACTGAGTTAATGGCCATTCCTATCTGGAGACATCCAGCAATCAATACGTAACTGTATTGTAAATGCTTACTATAATAACTGTGCCAGACTTTGTCAAAATGCTGTGCAGCAGTGGAGTATTGTAAGCAGTACTTAGATTAAGAAAATGGAGCACAAACCACTTCTCCATATCTGACTAAAATGTATCACTTGCACTATTATGAAGGCTTAAAAAATCCTAACAAAAGAACTCTCTTTCTAAGGAGTCATCCTAAGAGAGCATGACTGAGTAGCTCAAAATATATATCATTCTGCTCCACCTTTATTAAATGACCTCAGGTGAGTTGTCAATATATGTGAGCTCTATAAACATTTTGCCTAAGATGGGATTCCATCATTTCAGTGTAGGGAAAATGAATAGCAAATGAAAGAATATGAAAGAGGAAATATCCATGTTACACAGCTCCTTCTTAACAAGTATTATTTTTGCAATACTTAACACTGTTGGCAGCTCTATACCTATCATGGGCTTAAAATTCCTGATGAGTGGGCAAAACCAGCCCTGTTTTCTAAGTAAAGAATCTGTTGCAGTCAGCCTTGTATAAGAAACCTTTTAGTGTCAGTGATAATGAAAATACCTGGTACATATGACAGCGTTAAAATGGTGTCATGACCTGGCAATTTCTATTCAGTGCTGTCACATCCATGCACTGCACAGATCGGGATTGTCATCATGTAAATGTAATAGGATTCTTTATCCTGCATTGTTGCTCAGCTGGGAAGAGTAATTCTGAGTTTCCTGTAAGTTCTGAATAGCAGCAGGGGGCCATGAATAGCTTGGAAACCTATATTTTTTCCATTTATTTTTTTTAAATGCAAATTACACTAGTAAGTCAAAAAAATCACTTTTGTTAAAAATACATTCAGAATTAACAAATGCCAAAAAGAAAAGAAAAAAAAGACACATTTGGATTGTATCTCTTGCCTTCTGAATAGTTTAGTTTATAACAAAAGCCCAGCCTAGAAAAATAACATTCTTTACTGGATTTTGAGGAGGATACAGCTGTACAAATCAAAAATGGCATCCAGATATTCTCACATTACTGTGCTCTAAACTGCTTCCAGAAGAGATCTGTCCACTAATCATTTAGTTGAGTAGTCAACGGTCCTAATTTTTTAAATGGTGGTGCTCTAACTGCAACTTAAGCAGGGTTATGAATACCAACTTCATATAGGTATGTATGTGTATATATATATATATATATATATATATATATATATATATACTGTGTGTATGTGAGTGTGTGTATCTACTCTATATGTAATATATGAATACACATTTATATTGCAATCCATAGTAGTTAGATGTGCTCCCTATTTCCTAAGCATTTTACAAACATTAACAATTCAGACCTCACAAAAAACCTGTGAGGCACATATTATTCCCGTATTATGGATGGGAAGACTAAGACACAGAGAAATTAAGGCCAAAATTTTCTAAATTAAAATCAGGCCTATAAGCTACATGTAGACACTTCATTAAATTGTCTGACTTCTAAAATTGCTAACTACCAGTAGCCGCTGTTCCATGGGAAATCACTGAAAGGTATGAAAAATTATCTTCTAAAAATTGGATTGCTGCTTAGGTGCCTTAACTGGTTTCTTTTCATGTTAAAAAATGATTTTTATAGAAATATGGTTTTGATTAACTGGTATACAGGGAAAGATAAAATAACCTGTTATGACATTTTCATCCCATTTAAACCTCTTCATTGTGTTTAATACTATACATCTGCTATATTTAATACTACATAAAAGTAGAAACTTTTTTAGTTTTGCAAGTTATGGGAAATTTCAGCCTGTCACTTGGAAGTTGAATGGGGTTTCCAGGGGGTGAAAAGCATCTCTACCCAGTAGGAACTCATATTTTCAGGTACTCAAGTATGAAAATTAAAATTTGAGATCCAAATCAGCAATGAATGCTTTACAGGATCAGGCCTAGGGAACATTCATGTTTCATGCATGAAATTCCCGGCAGTATCTGAGATGGGAACTCTTGGTCCACTGCATCAGAATCTTCCTGGGTGATGCAGCCCTCAAAAATAGTTAGTCCTGTGTATTTTATATACATAGACATACACACACCTTCACACACATATATATATATCTAGCTATATCTATATAAATCTCACTGAATCAGTGTAGGTATAGCTCCTGACCATGTCCTGTATCTTGTTTTCACTGGTGAATGCCTGTTCCTCTGTCATTGTCCAGAGTTGCTGCTTGTGACACTGTACATCCATGCAGACACAGCAAAGGGCACTGGCTTGTACAGGGACGGGTGAGTGGTGTGAGTGCACAGGCTCTGGAGCAAGGGTTTGGCCAGCAGGGAAAAGGGAGTTGCCCAGGGGTGACTTGGGCATTTCCAAGCGCTGACCTTCCCTCTTGCCCTCAAAAGCTATGTGGTCACCTCAGGTGTGGTAGGTGCGTGCGTTAGTCTATGCAAGGTCTGAGCAAAGAAACAATGACAATCCAAGTTTCTGAAAAACCTGAGCAAAATATTGGGTTTTCCTAGTGAAAGCCATCTACGTTCTTGAAAATACAGATCAGATGTAGAATAAAACATATGTTCCTAGGAGTTCAGAGTATTTCATATACACATTGACCTACTAGCAAAATTCCCAAAGGCATCTTGTTGCCAACTACGTAACAGCACAGAGGTTTTTTTCAGCCACAATAATACAGGAAGATAAAATACACGTTCTAACACACAACAGATCCCCCAAATATACCACAAAAAGGTCTTCAGTATTTCTTCAACTCAACTAGTCCCTCCCTGCCCTCTCCAACCAAAAACGAGAAATAAAATATGTGGATCCCTTATGGTGCAATTAGAAAAAAAAAGCTCACTTACAGAGAATTTTTAGTTGAAATCAGATATAAAAGAGTAAACATAGCTAGTACATATTCAGTTGGCCTTTGCTCATAGAAATCTGCAGATGTGTCTGTAGTTAGTACAAGATGTTTAGAGATAGCTATAAAAGCACTTATAGTGCAATAAATAAAACCAGTGGGATTAAGAAGCACTGTTTCTGCTGCTTATTTCCAGTAGGTTCAATTATTAGTTTTTGTTACCCCTTTTCCCACCCTGACCCCCAAAAGGTGTAATTTATTTCTTTATTTATTTTTCTTTTTAATCATTATAAACTGCTTCTTGACCACTGTGGAGCCCCAAAAGTAAAGCACTTATCAGACAGCTGGCAGTTTTCTACTTGGTTGCTCTGGAGCCATGGAGCAACAGAGCCTTATTCCCTGACATGAAAACAAAGCAAAACCAAACAGAAGAAAACCACTGACTTAGAAATTGTTCAGAATTAACAGCAGCATGTTAACTTCAGAAAGCTTGCACGTAGTTTCTCTAATGTGCAACGCAGTTGGGTTAAGGCAAGTATGAACTGTACAGCCTTCAGGGCAAACAATGTGCTGTCTGTTGACTTCTGCTGCAAGGTCATCCTGGTATTTCAATGTTGTGTTGACTGAGGAGACTCAACGTGGCCCACAGTGTGGAGGAGGCTCCCACAGTACTGACTGGGCTGGGTTCATGTCTTAATCCAGATGGGCAGTGCTGGCGGTGGCCAGGGAAAGAAAGGGACCAAAGGTGGCACCAATGCCTCTGCTGTGTCCCTCGGGTGCTGAGAGGCAGGAGGCTCAAGGAGTGAATCTGGGGCATCTCCTTTAGTACCTGTTAGAAAGAGAGGCTGAAGGTCTCTGTTGCTTTCTGTCTCATTGTTCAATCAGCCTTTATACATTATTTTTAGCAGAAAAATTGGATTTCTCTTCTCTTTGAAGAACCAGGCCATCCTGAAAGAGATTTTTCAAAAGGTCCTCCAGCCCACCTTGAGTAGTCCCCATATTTACTTTGACCTAGAAGAAAGACAGAGAAAGAGCAATACTTATAATCCAACATATACTTTTCTGATCCATGCCCTGCTGCTCTGTTGCCCTTTTGCAAGCAAGTGTAATCCACAAACCAGTAACAGTTCAGATACACATGGGATGAAGAGGACAGAAAGACAAAATGTTTACTCAAGTAACTGCCTAGCTCTCTCTGGAGCATTGTCAGAGAAGTCAGCAAAGGTTTTCTAAACAATCTTAGGCAGGAGTTATATTTAATTATAATCTTAACTGTATGTCCATGGGTCAACTGGAATATGACCTGGTTTCTATAATCCATCAGATACGTAGCTGTCTTTGTAAAACCAAGAAGGGACATGGTATGAGGACAGAAAGGCTGGATTGCAGGTGCAGGGGAAAGCTGCCCATGGCTCACTCACAAAGCAGAGACCCTGTGCAAGTGCCACAGCCTGAGCACCTTAGCAGTGCTGTCCCAAATCCATGTTTTGTAACTAAAGCTTTCAGTCTGAAATGGACAAGATGCTGTCTGTTGATAGTGAAAGTTTAGGTAGTAGTTTATTTAAATGTGTATGAATCCCAAAACATGAGGAGATAATCCCACAGAAGATTTGTACTGCATGAATTTGCAGAGTGTCATGGTGGTTATACTCAAGGTGCTAGTTTTAATGGGTTTTTTTTGTATTTCATTTATATTTTAAGTGAATGGTGAAGTAGGTAGCACTTTCAATAGGTGCAGTTATCTAGACAAGTGCCTATGTGTGTGTGTGTGCATGGGAGTACAGATACTGCAAATATTCTTAGACTTCACAATAGGAGGAAAGCATGCTTCACTTCAGAGCTGCACTGCTTTTGAGCAATTTCTCCAGTGCATTAGGCATCAACATCAGACATGCATGGGTTTTTTTTGCTTCACTTCTTTTTTTCTTGAACAAACAAGTTCAGTGTGAAGAACATAAAGATCTCTCTCCCCTCCCTCCTTCCTACTGTTTTTAGAAGAGTGATCATGCAGTGCAGTCTTGTTCCACAACTACAACTGTTTTTATTCATGTGCAGCAGAATCAGTGTCAGGGAGTGTTTAGTCACCTTCCTCCGTCACCTCCCAAGAGGAGAATTTTGTCTTGACAATTGATTTCCGCCATCTTATTGTGTCCTTCTCCCATGGTCTGGAAATGAGCACTGGCATCTCCAGGACAGAATGCCAGGAAGCTGCTTTTGAGTACATCAGCTGTGGCCACACTGCAAGGAGGTACATGAGCATCGGTTCTGTCCCGTTCTGTTCAAAAAGCGTATTCATTTTGAAGGGACTGTCTAGGCTTCTTGACTTGTACAGCATAGAGCACACTGTTGGCACTTAAATAATAAAAAAATCCCATTTATAACAGGTAGAGAAATGTCACCATAAGAATTCTTCCCCAAAACATCAGTGTTTTATTTAAAACATAGTTTTAAATTGCATATATTTTTCACTTTAAAAAGTAAACTGATTTAAGTTAAATATTAAATTGGAAGAGGTGATAAGGAAAACTGTGATTGGAATTTAAAGCCTAAAACATAGAGAAAAAAAACTTCAGTGTGAGCCTGAATTTTATAATTTTAGACTATTAAAGGTAGCCAGAGATAGTCACTTCAATTAACTACTTAAAGATATTTCTTTTTCAGAAACCAAGGATTTTCTTTTCCTTGGATATCCTGTTCATTTAGGGTAGTTTTTCATAACTGATGCAACACCACACAAAGCGACTATGTGTGTTTAAACTGAATTAGAATAGAATTCTTAAAAGTAGAGCTTGATTGATGAAAATCACAAATAAAAGTAATAAATCTTTAGATTAAATAGTCCTGACACAATAGAAATGTAAATAAGAGAAGTCTGAATAAATCAAAATCATTTCACATGTAAGTTGGTGTAGGTTCAATATAAACTCCACATTAACAAAATGAAGTCCTAACTTTAGTACACAGGAAGAAACTGGTTACAAAACAGTATGTCTTAACAGTTAGCATTCCTTCAGAGGAATAGTTAAATAGTGAATGTATAAAGGAGAACAAGCAGAGAACAAACTGCTGTTGTGCCTCTGCATATATTTAGCAATCAGATGATTTAAAGGCACCTGTCTCCTGTTCAATTTCTCTAATAAATCCAGAGCTCCATATGAGATGTGCCCAGTGTGAGTCTGAATAGGACAGGATGCAGTAGTGACAAAAAGTGATCTCTGTATCTTCTTGATCTGAAGGAATTAGATGGGATGATGCTTAATATATGTTCTGTTGCCTATGAATCCAAAGACATTTTGTAGCAACTGATAAAGTTTTAGAAATGTTTTTATGAATACAGATATATGGACATATATGGGCATAGTTGTATCCTGGATGGACATGATTACAGCTCCCCTCACCTCCCCTCCTTGAATATTTTGAAGGCATACATTGGTGATGTTTGGGGAACAAACTCCATAGAGAACCAAATCTTTCCTCCCAATAAATAAAGCTTTAAAATACCAAGTATGGCCTGCTGTTATCATATCAGCATGTTTTGATTTCTAATACATAATATTGCTGTAAATAATGCTACAAGCAGATCAAACCGTGACTTGATTAACTTGACATTCGAATTTGTCACTCCACTACCTAATGGGCTGCCTATGTTTACAGAGCAGCTGCAATGTGAATACATATGCATGTGTTCCTAGTGTGCCCCAGCTGTAAATAAAGAAAGATATTACTAAATGCTGTAAAAGCTTCTTAAGGACAGACTGTAGCAATCCTAGAGAACCCTGTCAAACACTATACAGTCACAGGGAAACATGAAGTGTCTTTATTTGACTGTGGCTGGGACATGGCAATACTTTTGCAGGTTGATTGCACAAAATGTCCACTCACATTCTGATTTCTGTCTCTCGGTTAAGACAGCTAAATCACCTATACTCCAGTGTGCATGCAGCACTGAAATAAGAGAGAACACAGTTTACATGGATTAATCAACGATCTCTTCATCTAAGGTACAGGCTTAAAACTACTGCCTTCCTTTTTTTATTTTTTCACAGGTCTATCTTTCTTTACAGTCAGTATGAAGATGCAAAGTAAATGCAATCTGCTGTTCTGGAAGAAACACCGAAAGCATAAAGAGAATGAGATAATAGCTAGAGGGCTCCATATGTTGATGACAAGGTATATATACTGAGAAAGAGATAGTATTAGAGTTGTTCTAAGTACCTATGTACCTCATATAATACTATGAAGGAAATAACGTTTTCTAAATGCGCAGCACTGTGCCAAAAGTGCAGGTGAAAAATATTTACTTGAGCACAGACAGATGGGAAGCTGAAGTTAAGATGACATTGGTGATATGCACTATTGTAATTTGAGATTATTAAAAAGCTCCTAGCAAACCTCCTGAAGGGCCCAGTTCCAAACGCCACCACAGAGCAGATTGTACCACTGATAAAGGAGTAAATGCAAGATTCCAAGCAAAAATACACAAATCCATTAGTAGATTTGATTCCACTGATCAGGAGAAATGAAAATGCATTCAAAGACAAGTGAAATTGTGTGTTGGGATGGCTACTGTTTGCTTGAACTTAGTTCTTTGCCACAAAAGAAATGTTCAGAAGAGAAACAAAGGAAAAACCGTAACTTTATGAATTGTGTAGTGCTGTGCTTTTAGTGTGTAGAGCATTGATAGCAAATAAAAAATATTTCCAAAGGCTGCAGCAGTGAGGTAAGATTTATCTGGGCAGTCAGGACTGTTCTGCATTTCAGTTGACATCAATACAAGAAATATTTGGAGATGATCGTTCCTGGGCTGGTCTATGGTTGTGTGTCAGCTCTAGTGTGAATATACTCCAGTTGTATGTATGAGCTGAGATTTGTTTATCCATTTAATTCCTAGATATATCAGACTGCACTCTAATATGGAGTTGTCACTCAATGGTTAGGTAAAATACTGTCTTCTATCCAAACTAGTTTTAAAAGCCATATGTTATTACATTTGTTTTGGCTTTTTTAAATATGGAAACTGAAAATGAGGTACAGAGGTGCCTTGGTGAACAGATGCTCTGGTAAGACAAATGCTAAATGCATTCACTAAGTTAGCAAGTTGCTGAAATTTTAATAAAACTTCATAAAAATCCACTTTTTTTTTCATAGCCAAAGTTTGGTATATATGATTAGTGTTTTTTCTACATCAAATTGTCACTGTCTCTGAGTGGCACCTGCTTGAATGAAAATAGGGAAAGATCAGGTGAGAGTTGAATGCTGTTTGAACAACTGTGACACATGATATCCTGCCCTAAGAACTCATTATAATTCAACACAAGAGTAATGTTGGTTCCCAAGTGTAACTTGAATTCAGTCCATCAAAAAAGGCTTCTGACTATTCTGAATTTTTAAGTCACGCTATCTTTCAGCTTAATAATCCTTTAATATCAGGCTACCACTCTGCTGAATATGCTAGAAGTACTTACATATACATGGGCTGTAGCTGTAAATGAGATGTCTTCTGTGGGCCTTGATAGCCGTAAGAGTCAAATCCACCTATGAAATCAACTGAAAGGGGAAAAATTGCTTTCATTAGCAACATCTTTTCAGAACGGATAGGCACTATCATTCAAGAAGCACCTAGTACACAGATTATTTTTTACAGGTCCTCTAATAATCTGTTAGTATTACACCAGCTAATTGGGAAGATACAGAAAAACAGTAAAAAGTAAAGAAAGGTGAAGTATTCCTTTTTTTCCTTTACTTTTAAAAACAATTCAATTTTAAAACCATGTAAAAACAGTAAAAAATGTATAACATCCATCTTTCCATCAGAAATAAGTAGACATCCCTCTTTTTCTAGTATACCACCTCACTAATACAAAACAACATGCTATTTAGGCATTACAAATGCTGAAAACCATTTATTTATTGGCATGAATGCATTGCTTCTGACTGTGTCTGGCTTGCTGTCATACCATGGCTCAGTGGAGGATGTAGAGGAGGGAGTACATTGATCCAACTCTGTCTGAGAGACAGAAGTTTCTCTGACTCCCTGTTTTGACATTTGGGTTGAAATGCATGAACAGAGAGTTGGAACAATTTATCTGAGCTTCAGAAATGAAACCTCTCAGATGTAAGGAAACCTGCATTTCTCCCAAGATGCTAAAGGTTTGCAAGAAGTTTGAGAAGCTTGTAGGGTGGAAGTTATTTATTAATTCACACAATTGCCAGCTCCTGATGGCTTTCTTATGTTTGTTTTAAACAATTTCCAGGAAAATTCAATCTCATCTGAGCCCAAGACTCCTATATCTCTGCTAAAACACTTTCTTTGCACAGGTAAAAGGTTGCTCTTTGCTTTCTTTGTCCCAGGAGACTCAACTATCAGCTTATAGAGGTTATTTGGGGGCATTTCTTGTCCCTGAAATATTGTCTCTTACACTGCAGATCTGAATTGGACTTTACTTGGATAGAAAAGGGCCAAAGAGTTCAGGTATGGAAGTGCATTTTTCACATGTCTGATCACTGCTACTGACAGACTGATTCTGTGTACATTGAAAGCAAAAAGAAAACAAAAGGCTATTTGATAGACAACAACTTGTAGACCTAAAATGCAGTTACAGTTACAAACAACAAAAAAAGTAAATTTACATGGTTTGAAAACTTCCACAGTGGTTTGACTCCTTAACACTTGCATTTATAAAGTTTTTTAATACTAAGGTACCCCTCAATTTGTGCCACACTTATCAATACATTTTCAGCCATTCCAGACATTTACCAGAGAATCAAATTCTTGTATGCCTCGACACCACTCTGCAAGCAAAGAGTTACCAAAACACTGGACTGTCTGGGTACAGTATGTCTGTATTACAACTGCACACATGTTGAATCTGTTATAAAGTCATTCTTTGCTGGCAAGAATGGCCCCTGCAGAAATAATTTAGCCAATTCTGTGCCCTGTAGCACCATTATGTGTATTCCTATCCCAGAAAGATATGTTACTAAATTAATCCCTGACATCTCTAATGAAGGAGGTTCTATAGCCTTTCTGTGTTGCTTTTCCCTGTGCCTAATTTCCTAATGTCTAATTTAAATGTAATTTCCTGCAAATTAACTACTTATCTATATTTTGGCCTTTTCTCCCTATGGATATGAAGAAAAATGAGCCATTTTTTTCTCTTATAACTGTTTTTAAACCTTTTTAAAAAGTATTTCATTATATCCATTGTTTTCAGGCTTAAGCAAACCTAGTTATTTCAAATTTTTCTCACAGGTAATGTTGTCCAAGCCTCTACATTTTGAAGGTCCTTCCTCAGTTTACTTATGTTTTTCTTTCAGTGGGTGTACAAAGCAGGACTAACTGGAACAATTGCCATACAGTCCTCTGTTCACTACCTGAAATAATTCAGTAGGCTTTAGAATTTTGTATGTTTGGTTGGGATTTTTTGTTCTTGTTTTTTGTTCTTGTTTTGTGTCATTTGGCTTTGGTTTCCAATTTCTTTTTTCAACAGCATCATACAAATGCTCTAATAATCAGCTCTTTATTTTTTGTTTTGACACTAACTATAGTCTAGCCTAGTCCATATTTTATTTGAAGATGATTGATTCTTCCCCACAGGAGTTATTTTGTACTTGTCTGAACTGAACTTCACCTTTTTGATTTCAAGCCACTTCTCAAGATTATTTTGACTTCTAATCCTATATTCACAAGTGCTTGTACCCTTCCCAGTCTAGTTTAACCTTAAATTTTTTACAAAATTCTCTTTTCTATCCTCATTGTTGTTAATAAAACTAATGAAGAAAATTATTTCCCTAGCTGAGGTTCCAGTGGGATCCCATCTGAAATGCCCCATCTGCTTTATAACTTCATTTCAAATAGTTTTAAACAGTTCTGCACTCCACCTATGCTGACTACATATGGACAATACTTTCCTGAACTTCTTACAAACCTTTTATAATGTCAAAATCTTGCTAAAATCAAGACAAATGCTATTTGTTGCTTTCCATTTAATCAATGTCTGTAACCATCAGAATACCTTTATCAAAATGTTATAATGTCTTTGGAAACATACTGATTTTACAGGCAGAAAATGAAGAATACTTTTTACTGAAATGCTAGGCTGGGAGGAAGCCCCTCCCTCTATTCAAATACAGAGATTGCAGGAGAAAGAACGATGGACGTATGGTTTGCTGCAGGTATGGTTCATTGTTTGCTTGCCCAATTTTCTTTTTGTTACTCTTGATCCCTGACAACACAAGTCAGAAAATGCCTGTGTTGGATCAAATGCCTCACTGTTGTCAACGCATGCCACGTTAGGGATATTGCTTATACTCATTTGTCCAGCCTTGCATTTCTTCTGTACTTTCCTAGATTTTTTCAAGCAACCTATAAAACATTGTTAGTAGGCTGCAGGCATAGACACTCTGCTTTGCAGATGTGGGGCAAAAGCTTGTCTTCAGGGCTGTTTTCAGAAAGCTAAACCAATGGATTAAGAAAAAGATTTCTTTGAGCAAAATTATGTTGTGTGAGCATGAGGGAAAGATGCATACTGAATATCTCTTCACACATTGTGGCTTTGTCCTGCTGTACAGAGCAAGCACAGAGTGTTAGTAAGCCAGATTGCCAAGTTACAAACAAAGCAAGGTCGTAGAGACATTTCTGTGTTCATCTCACTATAGAAGTTCCCATGTGTGTAACCAAATGATGGCAGGGCAGCGAGTACAACCATGACCTCACTGGAGACATACAATGGCTTCTTACAGGCAACAACAAGCTTTGCAAGGTAGGTGAAGGGAGGTAATAGAGAGTGAACTCCAATACAAAAGGATTTCATCAATTTGTTTGTAGCAAGGTTTCTTCATGGCAGCTGCTTCTCAGCACTGCAAACCCTGTGGTGTCCAGACTGTGCTAAAAGCTCCCTGTGGACTCTGAGCTAGTTTCTTAAAGCATGCAGCAGTCTGCCCTTTCTGCAGGCATTCTATCCTGGCTGTGCCTGAAAGGTCACTAAAATGTCATACAACTGATACATTCCTGGCAGCCATAACATCAGATGCATAAAACAAGGCTCATTAGCTGAATCAGTACCAAGGCATCCATCCTTAGCCTCATACATCAAACACTTTTTTGACTCTTCTATCTTACATTTATGGTAACACATTACATCTTACATGTCACTGTTATCACAGGAGGCCCATGTTGTGTTTCCCTTTAGTAAAAGCACACATTAACATACAAACATAATCCAATTCCTTTTGTGGTGGGCTGACCCTGGATGAACATCAGTTTTCCACTAAAGCCACTCTGTTTCTCCCCTCCTCAGCTGAACAGGAAAGAGAAAACATAACAAAAGGTTCATGGGTCCAGACAGAGACAGGGAGAGACCATTCAGCAATTACCATCACAGGCAAGATCCAAAGAAGAACAGTATAATGAGAAATAGAGCCAAATATTAAACTTTCTTCCCAGGCTTAAGTCCTGACTCTCTGCCTTCCCCACCCCAGTGACATCAGGGAATGAGGAATGGGAGTTGTGGTCAGTCATGACATGGATGCTCCTTGCATGTGCATGTCATGACTGGATGTATTTCCTGTGTGGTATAGCAGAGCGACAACACATGGTGCTCATATTCTGCATCTGACCTGCAAGGTCTTAAATTTATCTGCTCTCTCCAGAGGCCAAAGATTTCTCTTCCTGGACTCAGGTTTTTGAAGTGCTGCAGTTGAACTTCATTCACTGCCACAACAAGGCACATCACTGCAGGTGTAGCTGGAAGGAAGGAGAGAATGGCAAAGTACAGCTAATAACATTACTGAAAGCACTGCTGGTGCAGAAGTGAGTTTGTGAGGCAAGAGAGAGCTGTGCACAAATAGCAGTAGCTAAAAACTAGCCAAATTGAGAAGAAAATATAAATGGAGGGGAGTAAAATTAAGTTTCATTTTAATACCTTGGAAATGACATATAGGGCAAAAATATAAAAGAACATATGGGGACACCTTTGCTCTTGCATCTTTGCCAGTATCCTGCTACCCAGCTCTCCGTTTGGTGAAGACATTTCCAAACAATTCAGTGTTGCTGCCTTTTTATGCTGTGAGCATGGTCTGGTGGCTGTTCCACTCAATAGCACACAGGAGGAGATTTGCTTGAATGTGATCTCCATAAAGTTTGTTTACAATGATAATCAAACATTATTGGTCTTTGTGCTGAGTACACAGTGATTTAGGCTCTCAAACCACAGCAGAGCCAAACACCAGGGAAACATGGGGAAGGAGACATCTGCCAGCACACGAGGCTGTGCCCTTTCTACTGTCACAGGAGGATTCAGAAATGGCACAAGGACTTGGACATGAGGTCCAGTTCTTGCGGTGCAATGAGCAGCATTTCTGCCAAGCAGTCAGTAATGAAGGGCCTGTGAGTGCTCTCAGCTCAGCCATTTACAAGGTGAATATAAAACCTCAGATTCTGAAACTGTAACCTCATGGCACTTGTGAGCTCTATGATGGCCACTGGAACTGAAGCCCTTACACAAATTTTGATGGAGTTTCTCAGATCAGAGTTTGCTCCACTGCCA